TTTTGTCAAAATGAATGACCTTCGCCCATATTCAAGGTCACAGTGGTCAATACATGTTTAAATCTTTAAATGACTTGTTCTGTATAACCAATAGGTCCAGGGTTATGATATTTTGCCAAAAGCATGCTGGGTTGGAAGACTTTAAACTCTGTTTAACCTAATGTCCTTGTTCGACATTCAAGGTCACAGGCGTCATATGTTTAAATCTTTTAATAGGTTCTTATGAATCAAACACTGATATTCTGCCTGTAGCTGTATTTTAGTCCACTTTTAAGATTACAAGTATGAGATCAATACCAGGTGAGCGATTCAGGCCTTTTGGGCCTCTTGTTTGTGAACCGCTTTAAGACGAGCTACGAAATGGCCCCTGGTGTTCCTACCCAACCCTAGAGGCCAGGGCGGGGGCCCCAAAGAGAAAATTAACCAATATTTGAAAAATCTTCAACTACAGACTGAGAAGTACTACAGTGAATTTCAGTGCATGGATAGAACGACCATCAGAAGCTTTATTGGAATTGTCAATTTCAGGACCCCTGAGCCATCCATTCCCCCTTTGGGGGGGTAAAGTTTACTATAGTTTATATAGGGAAATAACACTTTTGGGTATATTTTATCCATTTTCAACAGAAAATTATTCCAACTTCGATACATGCTGATTTCCACATCACATATAAACAAGAAAATAAAGCTACCAGTACCAATGATATACGTAATGTGACCGCTAAGGCCATTGGGCCTCTTGTTACAATTTTCTGTAGGAAATCATTCTTACTTTGTGAGAATTATTCCTTGGAGAAAGATGGTTTTAAAATATAAAATTAAGATTCCTACCCCAACAGTAGGGGCCAGGGCGGGGCCCCAAAGGGAAAATTAACCAGTATTTCAAAATTCTTCTCCAGACTCGGTGGTACTACAGTCAATTGCATGGATAGAAAGATCACCAGGAGCTTTATTTAAATTGTCAATTTCAGGACCCTGAGCCATACGTTCTCTCTTGGGGAGGAGGTAAAGTTGACTATAGTTTATATAGGGAAATAACACTTTTGAGTATATTTTATCCATTTTCAGCAGAAATTTATTCAAACTTGGTCAGAATCATCTTTGGCGGATGAGGGTATTACAATATAAAAATTATAAATTGGAATTTCTGAAAAACAATAATATAAAGCTACCAGTACATATGATAACTCAGGTGACCGCTTAGGCCCTTAGGACTCTTTTTAAACATTAACCTCAATTTATCTTATTGGGCCCCATCCCTCTGCCCCCTAAAACAACCCTCCATTAATACCAAATTGAGTCCCCTTTGCCCAAGGATCTACTACACAATACATATTTAAAATACCTTACAAATGAACTGAATGGAAATGAATTTAAACATGTATTACTATGTTTCCCGTACTGGATTCTTCCCCTTTGCTCCTTTGGGGATCACACCCTCTGTTTAAACAAGTCCCCCTTCCAAAATGATGTTCTTGACCAAATGTGGTTAAAATAACTTTACTAATACTGAAGAAGAATGATTTTAAAGATTTAACTCCAGTTACTCTATCTGCCCCCAAACCCGCTAGCCTCAGCAACATCCTCTGTACACACTTGACTTCCCTTTGCCAAAGGATGCTCTGGACCAAATTTGGTTAGAGTCCCTCCAATGGTACAGAAGAAGGATTTTAAAGATTTAAACCTCAAATTCTCCTTTGGGGCACTGCCCTTCCGCTCCCAATGGTCCAAAACATTGTTTATACAAAATTAAGTTTCCTCGGCCGAAGTATGTTCCAGATCAAATTGGGATGAAATCCTTCAATCCCAATTGTAGGAAGAATTTTAAAGGTTTTACCTCAATTTCCCCTATTGGACCTCGCTCCTCTGCCCCAGTTGGGGAGGGGGGCGAACCAACCGTTTGTACATAATTGAGTGCCTAGGCCCAAGGATGCTCTAGAACAAATTAAGTCAAAATATACTAGCCCGTTCAGGACAAGTAGCTTTTTAAAGGAAAGTTGACGGACGGACGACGAATGGTGCGCCATGACATGCATAAGCTCTCCGGTCGAACCAGGTGAGCTAAAAGGTGGATAATTTCACTCTATAGTTTTTTGTACAAGCTTTGATTTAATCTCCAAATGCTATTTTACACCTTCAGCAGATTATGGGTCACTTAATTTAAAGTTATGGAAATGAAAACTTTACCGGTTTCGGATTTTAGAAATATGTTTACTATACAAAGATTATATATTTAAGCATAATTTATCAGCAAGACTATTTGGCAGACTGACACAGTAAAGAATAACACGAGGAATGTGGAGCTATGTCAAGTGATCATTTACCTCATTTTGGACTCCAGTTTTGACAAGAACCCAGTACTAGCATCACAGATTCTAGTAAAAAAAAGAGTACATATTTGTTATCAAAATGATCAACTACACCATAGCATTAGCATTATAACGATTATAACGGAAGAAATTAGCTTTAAGTTAAAATAGTGAATGTTCAGGCACTTGAGTACGTATAACTTAATGGACTGAGCAGGATTACTTCAATGAGCTCGCATTTTGCCAAATCAGTCCCTAGGGAGCTGCAACCATCATTTTCAATACTATCTGCAGTCTGGCAATTGGTTTGGTTTTATTTTGTTTAACGTCCTATTAACAGTCTGGCAACGGTGTTGCAAAATATGAAGAAGAAAAAACTTGTTCAGAACAGAGACTTGATTTTTTTTCTTGGAGACCGTGATATCAAAATTCTGAAAAGGCAAAACAGGTAATAAAATGTTTATTCCATGGCTGTGCATGACAAAACAGGAGTAAAAATTATACAGCCGGTTGCACATACTTCACGGAAAAATGAAAGACATAGTCTTTGACCCATTGTTTCCTATCATTAATTACAGGCATCACAGACAATGTCTGAAAACACAGCCTTATTCAAGGCTGTGTACCAAGGAAACCTCGAGACAGTAGTTAACTTGGTAAGATCTGGGCTGGACTTGGGGGCCACGAATGAGTATGGACGAACTGCTCTCATGGATGCAGTGATGTATTTCAGACAAAACGTGGCGAAATTTCTAGTCGGGAAGATGACTGCCAAGGACTTGATGGTGGTAGACAGGCATGGCTTCAATGTGTTACATATGATGGCCATTGAAGAGGTTCCGTGGCCAGATATTATGCAGGACATTTACGACAACTGTCCGGAAACCCTACAACAACTGAACCGAAAGAATCGCCGACCGATAGATGTCGCCAGAGACATGCAGTGCAAGGACCCGGAACTTCGTCAAGACGTTTGTAATATTCTCAGTATGTACACTTAATATGTTTTGTGTTAGTCCATACTCATGTAACTGCTAGGATTTAGTTTTGTGCAGCGGGTTGTATATATTTGTTTACAATCATGTTTCGAATCAAAAGACTTACATGAATACAGTTAAATATTATTTTAAATCTAAACAAACAATTCTTTTTAGATACTATATATATGTGTTTATCAAACTGAATGCCAATTTTCAATAAACTACAGAAAAAAGTCAGTTTTCGTCTGACTTTCTGGAAATTCACAGCAGACATTCGGTAGATTCTTGGAGTACCAAGCAAAGCAAAACGGCACATGATAGCGTATTTATCCAAGATAGACTTGAGCAAAGCTCAGGTGACCTATACCAATCACTCTCCGTCCGTCGTCCGTCGTCTGTCGTCCGTCGTGCGTCGTGCGTAAACTTTTTACATTATCAACTTCTTCTCAAGAACCAGTGGATGGAGTTTTTTCAAACTTGGTCAGAATCATCCTTGGTAGATGAGGCTACCAAATTGTAAAATTGGGATTCCTACCCCACCCCTAGGGGCCAGGGCGGGGCCCAAAAGGGAAAATTAACCAATATTTCAAAAATCTTCTTCTCCAGACTCAGAGGTATTACAGTCATTTTCCCTGCATTGATGGAAAGATCATCAGGGGCTTTATTTAAATTGTAAATTTCAGGACCTCCGAGCTATCCGTTCTCCCTTCAGGAGGGGGTAAAGTTTACTATAGTTTATATTGGGAAACAACACTTTTGGGTATATTTTGACAATTTTCTGTTGGAAATTATTTTTACTTGGTGAAAATTATCCTTGGAGGAGGAATATGGTTTTAGATTGTAAAATTTGGATTCCTGCCCCAACCCTAGGGGCCAGGGCGGGGCCCAAAAGGGAAAATTAGCCAACCCCTCAAAAATCTTCTTCTCCAGACTAAGAAGTATTACAGTCATTTTCTCTGCATGAATGGAAAGATCATCAGGGGCGTTATTTAAATTGTAAATTTCAGGACCTCCGAGCTATCCGTTCTCCCTTCAGGAGGGGGTAAAGTTTACTATAGTTTATTTAGGGAAATAACACTTTTGGGTATATTTTGACAAATTTCTGTTGGAAATTATTTTTACTCAGTCAGAATCATCCTTGGAGGAGGAAGATGGTTTTAAATTGTAAAATTTGGATTCCTACCCCAACACTAGGGGCCAGGGCGGGGCACAACAGGGAAAATTAACCAATATTTAAAAAATCTTCTTCTCCAGACTAAGAAGTATTACAGTCATTTTCTCTGGATGGATGGAAAGATCATCAGGGGCTTTATTTAAATTGTAAATTTCAGGACCCCCGAGCTATCCGTTCTCCCTTGGGGAGGGGGTAAAGTCTACTATAGTTTATATAGGGAAACAACACTTTTTGGCATATTTTGACAATTTTCTGTTGGAAACTGTTTTTACTTGGTGAAAATTATCCGTGGAGGAGGAATTTGGTTTTAGATTGTAAAATTTGGATTCCTACCCCAACACTAGGGGCCAGGGCGGGGCCCAAAAGGGAAAATTAGCCAGTATTTCAAAAATCTTCTTCTCCAGACTAAGAAGTATTACAGTCATTTTCTCTGCATGAATGGAAAGATCATCAGGGGCGTTATTTAAATTGTAAATTTCAGGACCCCCGAGCTATCCATTCTCCCTTAGGGAGGGGGTAAAGTTTACTATAGTTTATATTGGTAAACAACACTTTTGGGTATATTTTGCCAATTTTCTGTTGGAAATTATTTTTACTTGGTCATAATCATCTTAGGTGGATGACGGTATCACATTGTAAACTTGGAATTCCTGCCCCATCCCCAGGGGTAATAGCGGGGCCCCAAAGCGAACATTTACAAATATTTTAAAATTCTTATCCTTTGATGACATGACAAGTATTGTATTTCACTTAGTTTACATGCTGATTTCCACATCACATCTGAACAATAAAATAAAGCTACCAGTCCCTTTGATATAACTCAGGTGAGCGCTAAGGCCCTTGGGCCTCTTGTTTAACTTAAGATACGTTGGGTTAAATCTTGATTATGATTGAATTATTGGTAGATTTCAAAAATCTTCTACTCCAGACTCAGAGGTATAACAGTCATTTTCTCTGCATGGATGGAAAGATCATCAGGGGCGTTATTTAAATTGTAAATTTCAGGACCTCCGAGCTATCCGTTCTCCCTTGGGGAGGGGGTACAGTTTACTATAGTTTATATTGCGACCCACCACTTTTGGGTATATTTTGACAATTTTCTGTTGGAAATTATTTTTACTTGGTCATAATCATCTTAGGTGGATGACGGTATCACATTGTAAACTTGGAATTCCTGCCCCATCCCCAGGGGTAATAGCGGGGCCCCAAAGCGAACATTTACAAATATTTTAAAATTCTTATCCTTTGATGACATGACAAGTATTGTATTTCACTTAGTTTACATGCTGATTTCCACATCACATCTAAACAATAAAATAAAGCTACCAGTACCTTTGATATAACTCAGGTGACCGCTAAGGCCCTTGGGCCTCTTGTTTAACTTAAGATACGTTAGGTTAAATCTTGATTATGATTGAATTATTGGTAGACAATATCTTTGTTGAGTTCGTTGGCCAGATCTTCTAACAACCCGTAAGCTTCCTTATCAGAAATTACTGTGCCACTGGCAAAATTTGTTTTGTTTTGTTTGCATACAAGGGTGATTTGTTGAAGACGGTATTGTAAAAAATTCCTAGAAAACTATCTCCAAATTAGAATTCATATAAGTCGCTGATGTGCTGTCATTGAATAACAATAAGTGTATGGTCCCTTTATATCGCATGTATCCTCCTGAGGAAACCAGATACACTACTGACTCTTATTTAGGCCGCGTTTTTCGATCCTTACCTACAACATGATTGACAAGGAATGATTACTGTTAAGCTGTATGATACGATGCGTGAGTTTTTCCTTTGTTGTTAGCAGCTTCCCCCTTTCCCACTGCTATGATGGTAAAATGTAGGAGCTGATTCGGTGTTCAGGAGCTTACTTCAGATTTCCATGATATATTTTCTACTGGCGGATAAACTTTCAGAAATGCAGATTGATGAAGACTATGGGCAAGTTGCATGGTCGCCAACATGATCTTATTCGGATACATGCTACTTTTTATTTCTTGTTGTAATGGATTATCTCTTGGATGATATACTTATAATACGTGGATATGACCTAGATTTACATTGGGAATGTGGGAGTGGGGTAGGGTCGAAACACCAGAGGACATTTATCCTCCTGGGATTCTTCAGGGTATCCATCTATTGTCGATTTTAAAGTCAAATAACAGATTTACGGACCTAATTGGCGAACGCTTCAGTAATCTCCTAATGTGTTTCTTCTACTCTAAATTTCAAACAACGACGCACTTGACAAATGTTTTACAAAATCTGATATATGTGAAACGGTTCTGTGCATGAATGGCATCACATTGATTCACATGAGAGTGATATATATATATGTAACATAAAACACTTTTTTTCTGTACGCATCAAACGGGAATGTGTTTGGTAAGTTCTAAATGCAACATGACCACATGTTGTTCATAACTTTTGTGACAATGACATAAGCAACAATATCCCTTACAATGTGCTGCTACGTTCTTTTCATGCATGTTTATATTTTGTGTAGAGCTATTGTAACAGCATTGTTCTTCGTTCATTTGGTATATAATAACATATGTCCCTTGAAATAAAGCCATTCTAAACATTAATGATAAACAGAAGGAGAACACTATTAAATATGAAACATGTTACTCCCAACAAAATTGTCAAACAATTTTATTTTATTTAGCTCAATTGGAGCAAAGAAAGCAGCAGCAGCAGCATCAGCAACAATATGCGGCAGGAATAGCTGATACTATGGAAAAGCCTTGCAATATCACCATTACCGTCGTTGGTCACCATGGAGTTGGCAAGTCTTGTTTCGTCCGGCAACTCAAACAGGAATATATTCCGGTAGAGGGTCCTGGCTCAACAGATACCGCTAACTTCTATGTCAACTTTTTGGGATATAACCCGAACACCGGTTGGCGACAGAAACTTGACATAGACGGAGAAGTAGAGACGGGTCTTCAGCGACTGAAACGGATAATAGATCGAAAGCGAAAAGAAGAAAAACCGGCTGTACAACCGTCTGCTGATACACAAGACCTTCACGGCGATGATAAGAACGAGGTGTCTGCAAGTACATTAGACATAAACGATGATAAAGAAGACGCGTCTTCATGTGCTCCAGATTTGCAAACGACGACACATCATTTACCTAGGAAAAAGACAGGTAACTGGACACATACGAATGTAATTTTTGTAAATATCATTACATATTAAGGAACATATTCAGTTCAGTATCAACCACGTCTGACTTGAAGGTCTTATCGCCATTTTAAAACAAGCTCACATTGATTGTTGGGAAAAGTGATAACTGAGTAGACATATTGATAGTAAAACTTCTTACTGACACGTGATAAGGATGTACTCTTAAAATAATAAAAATAAAAATAAAAAAATAAATATAAAAAATAAATATTATAAAAAAGTATTCTATGATGCGTTTTTGAAACAAAAAAAGTAAACGGTATAGAAAAAAACCATAACAGGGGATATATATTTATATATATATATCCACTGTTCGTATTGTGTGCTACGATCGATCAGAAATACCAATATTTAACACAATATCGGATTTTTGGCGTTTTTGTTTTGACCGTATGCAGCGCTAACTCATTAACTTTCCAAATGCGTTATCAGAAATGTATGAATATTCTAACAATTGAAAAAAAATATTATATTCTTCCAAATTATGGAAGTAAAATTTTTCAATATTATTAGCTCACCTGGCCTGGCCTGGCATGGTGCGGCGTCCGTCGTCCGTCCGGCGTCAATTTTTTACTTTAAACAACTTCTTCTCAGTAACGAAAAGGCCTAGGGTGATGATATTTGGCCAGAGGATGCTTGGATGAAGGGCTACCAAGTTTGTTCAAATAAATGACCTTCGTCAATTTTCAAGGTCACAGGGGTCAAATATGTTAAAATCTTTAAACAACTTCTTCTGAATAACCAAGAGGCCTAGGATGATGATATTTGGCCAGTAACATGCTTAAATTAGGGGCTTCCAAGTGTGTTCAAAATAAATGACCTTGATTTATATTCAAGGTCACAGGGGTCAAATATGTTAAAAACTTTTAAACAATTTCTTCTGAATAACCAAGAGGCCTAGAACAATGATATTTGACCAGTATCAAGCTTAGATGAAGGGCTACCAAGTTTGTTCAAACAAACGACCTTCATCCATTTTCAAGGTCACAGGGGTCAAATATGTTTAAAACCTTTAAACAACTTCTCCTGAATATCCAAGAGGCATAGGCTAATGATATTTGGGCAGTAACCTGCTGGGAAGAAGGGCTACAAAGTTTATTCAAATTAATTACCTTCATCTATTTTCAAGGTCACAGGGGTCAAATGATTTTAAAACCTTTAAACAACTTCTTCTCAATAACCAAAAGGCCTTGGATGAGGATATTTGGTCAGTAACATGCTGGGATGAAGGGCTTCCAAGTTTGTTCAAATGAATGACCTTTGCTCATATTCAAGGTCACAGGGATCAAATATGTTTAAATCTTTAAATGACCTGTTCTGAATATTCAAAAGGGTCAAGGTAATGATATTTAGCCAGAAGTATGCAGGGACGGAAGGCGATAAATTTTCAAAGTCACAGGTGTCATATGTTTAATAGATTCAAATGGATCAAGAGATATCTGCCTGTAGCTGTAAGTGTGAGATTAATACCAGGTGAGCGATTCAGGCCAATTGGACCTCTTGTTCAGATTCGCGTTTGCATTAAAACTGTTCAAAACTTGTTAAGATTATATGAAAACCTATTACAAGATATCAGAACGAGTATTAAACGTGATTTAAACATCAGAAGTGTACATCCTTAATAAACTTTATTTTGTGTTTTACTTGATGTAATGTCATTGAAATAATCGGAGAGTATTTACTATTTAGGTATCAAGCGGACACTGAAACGATTCTTCTCAAAGTTCAAATTCAGAGGGAAAAGAGGAGGTAAATGTCCGTGTTCATTCTTAGTGGTAAACTTAGCATATTGATACCAAGAAAAATACCAATGAGTAACCAGATCAAAGAACATGCTTTATAGTAATCCATTTTTTTGGTTAATTCAGAAATGTATTAACGTTATCAATAAATATGGCGTTCTCATTTTAATAAAATATAAGCCACATATTTGTACGCAAGTTTGATCAGTATAGTACGGTTAGGAATTTTGGAGAAAATAAATAGATATGATGGCTACAAATTTACATCAGCAACAACAACAGGAAATTTCTCTAGATCAAAGAACCGAAAATCCTTTTTCAGAAGTTCAACAGGCGGTAATACCTCAGAAACAAAGTAGCGAAAATTCTTCTTCTTCAGAAGTTCAACAGGAGGTTATACCTCAGAAACAAAGTAGCGAAAATCCTTCCTTTACCGAAAAAAATGTACTCAAGGAAATACCTCTCGAACAAAGGAGCGTTATAGAGGCGGTAATGCACACCAAGGCAGGTGGTGACGGTGAAGAGGACGTGAAGGGCTTCGTAACAATCTACGACTTTGGTGGGGAGAAGGTATTCTACAACACGCATCACTGTTTTATGTCAAGCAACATGGTCTTCGTCCTGGTGTTCGACGTGGCTATGTGTCTTGATCCGCGCAGACAGAAAGATGGTTACGGTACTGTTTTATTACCTAACTGCATGTTTCTGTTATACCTTCTGTATTGGGGTTTATATAGCACAACTAGTGAATGTGGTTATGTGACTTTTACATGTGAAAATATTTGTGTAGCACGACCAAATAGTGTTATATATGACGTTTCAATGCCTAGTACGGTATGTACTCTAGGTTTAGGCATTCACAACCTGTCGAAACTCGCACATCTTTTATCTATACAATACAATCATATTACTTATAATATTAACATACGATTTGTGACTATGACCATATCGGGAGTATTGGACTGTTGACCACTTCATCACCTTGTATCCATATTATTTGTGACTATGACCATATCGTGATTATCGGAATACTGCATCATCGATACCCTTTTAAATGGTGGTATAGTGGTAGGAGCTGCGGATATTTATAAGCTTAAACAATTTGTTGCCGTAGGTCGGCGGGAGTTCGAGGGGCAGATAAGGCAGAAGTCATATATTTTTCGTCCTTCGTCACTCGTGATTCTATTGTTATATTTAAGGGCAATTATGTATTCCCCTTTCGCCCCCTTTCCCGACAGGCCACACTCATCATTTGTACGATATCAAAACCCCGTGGGTCAGGACGTTATCAAAAGTTCTAACATTCATACTTTCCGGTTTAGTATGCTTGAGCCATCTTGAATGTGATTGAATTTGCAACTTATTAGTTATCGAAACGTCCTTTTTATAAACATTTTCTTCAGGTTGGTAATTATGGATTTTGAAAAGATTTATGAAGCACAACCAAAAAGTGTTTATATGTGACAATTCTATTACTAGTACGGTATGTATTTTGTCACCTACATCAGTCAAGTGAAGCGTATGTACACAAAGGTGTTAAAGATGTCCCGCCTTACTAACCAATCGAACTTTCGCCGACCTACGGCAACAAAACCACATAATCATTTTAAAAGGTATCGATGATGCAGTATTCCGATAATCACGATATGGTCATAGTGAGTCACAAATCATATGGATACAAGCTGTGTAGATTTCGACAGGTTGTTTATGTCTTTAACGTGCAGATCAACATACATTAGTGCATATTGTGATTATCGATTATTTATAAATTACATAGAAACACAACGAACGAAGAGATACCATTTTTTACTTGTTCCTCGTCCTGGTCTCGAACTCGTGACTGAGGGCATCAAATTGCATAGTCTAGAAATTGAAAAGATGTATACATGGGTAAGAGCTGAGCAAATACAATAACATATTAAACGCTAAACGTAATTCTCTCAATTAAGGGTATCCTTTCAACTGTTTTGTCTTGTTTTGATAGCTAAAGTACACATCTGATATGCCCCTTTTATAAACGTTGTGATTTTTTGTTTTTTGTTTTACAGAAAAAATCGAGTTTTGGCTGAGGTCTATCGCTACCTATGCTATTGAAAGAGCAGCACGTGGTAAAGGAACGCCTCCTATCATCCTCGTGGGATCTCATTTGGACCGTCTTTCTCAGAATGTAAGTATTTTAAGCACAAATAACACGTATTTGGATATTGCAAATACATTTTTTAACATTCTATGTCTTATATTGCGTGTTCGGTAAATTTTAAAAGGGTTACATATCTTTTTTATGATAAAGATCAAAATGAAGCTATTTTGGTGCGATGCTAGATCACAAATCTGTAATGTAAAGATATACTGTACAGTCACTAATATAATGTATATATTAGTTTAATCTGCTGTTGACTTTAGCTGTATAATGCTTGTCATTCTAACATATCTCTGTAAGTGTCACTCCGAAAAATGACAGGGATTGTCTGCAGCCAAGCCCTTTGGGACACGGATTCGAATTAAATGTACTGTTTCTAGTAAGACAAGGAAATGAACATATTTTTCGATCATATAACGGTGAATGCGTCATGCAACATAAAACGGTTACAGCTTTTTCAACCGCATGTCCAAGCCGGTCAAATATCCCTGTCACCAGAACTACTTCACTCGAGGTTACACCTAAACCGGTTTGCAATGTTCAAAACTATCTCAGACGAAGTCAAACTGATTAAAACCCATTTTAAGTTTAGGCACAGCCTTTTTTTAGCAAAAAGTGAATGTCGGTAAAATTTGTTGAAGCAATGTAAAGATTCCCAAGAGAACGTGTCAATGAATCAATGGCTTAAAATTAAATCTCCACATGAAACGTGTGCCTTTTTGGTTTTGTACGAAACCAGTTGGTTCGGAACGCGTGCATTTGGTTTGGAATAATTTCACATGTCGTCGAGTTGATGAATAAAATTCTGTTAACAAATTAAAAGTATGTTTAACAACTCGTCAGAATTGAACAATAATAAAATATTAAAAAGCGGACCTTGTTACACCAGTGTTAGGCCACCGGCTAATTTATGTTGAAAGCCATTGGCCACTTTCGTCCTTGCATCAATATTGAAATAAATCGAGACTGCATCCTGAGAAAAGATCTGGGCAGTTCAAAAATTAATGTTACTATTTCTATAACTGTCGCCGTATTTTATGAGCAATTCAATGTATTTTCTTTAACACAGACAGAAGAACAACAGCACTTGTTTGCCTCGGTGCTAGAAAAGCTGTACGAGAAACCTGAACTACGTGAAATTATGGAAACCCACGTCCAGGAAATGTTCCCCATTGCAGATCTGAATGATTCGACGAAAAATCAAGCAACGTACCAGCAGATGTGGGAAAAGATCATAGAGATTGCCCCACTCCAATCTCAGTGGATGAAGCCTGTACCTGCAAGATGGGTCGCCTTTGAACACGAGTTGGTGAGACTGAAGAATGATGGCAGGGTTATCCTGACATACGGTGAATTGTTGGAAATCAACAGGGAGTTAGTAGTGCCATTAGTAGAAGGTGACATAATCAAATTCCTATGGTAAGTATAAATCATCATCACACATTTCATCAGATATGTTAACATAATTTGGTACTTTTTAAAAATATATACTATTTTTTTCAGGAAACTTAAGTTTTTTGGATCATTCTTGTGCTTTGATCTTCATAACAAGAGACCGTTCATCGTTCTGCAAGCACAGTGGATAATAGATGCATTCAAAGTCATCATCACCGACCCAAAGTTCTTTACTGAACTAACAATGAAGCAAGGACATGATTGGACAGCATATCAGAAGTCTGGTGTCTTACCAGTAGAATTTATCCGGCAACTTTGGGGACGATACGAGAAATGTCGATTCATCGAAGAGGAGGAAACTCTCTACATTACAATGGAAACTCTTGGTTTAATCTCAAAACCACTGTCTGTAGATGCAGAGGTGAATTACTTCATAGTACCTAGCATTCTTCAAACTGCAGATCCCGAGATCATTCGTCCAGTTCTTGATTATCCTGACACTGTCACAGCTGTCGCTCTTTGCCTCAAGTTCGACAACCCATTCATCCCACAGGCCGTGTGGGACAAGATGCTTGCCGCCTGTATCCACAGGTTTCAGCAACTTGAAGAGCCCGGTATGGATGGTTCGAAGTTTATTCAGTGCGGATTTGCCTGTCTGCAGGTGAAAAGTCTTTGGAAAATGATTATCGTATGTAAAGACAATGCCATGAAAATGGTCATGTTCACGAGAAGTACAGATCAGGAAGTATTGCTGCCTGGAACCGGAATCAGCCTTCGTAAAATTATGCAGGGTATTCTCATGCGAATTCTTCAGATGAATAATCAAAGTCATCTTGGGTACCAGTTCTACCTCCACAACGACTACCGATTCACTTCTAATGACAAAATGGTGACATTAAAAGATCTCCGTCAAAGGGATATTGTAGAATGTTACGGTTCGGATGGATATGGATGGATACAAAGAAAGGATATGTACTTCTGGTTTGAGGATGAAAATCAGAAGGTATGTACATTATTCATCAGCCTCATTAAGAGAAGATATAATTATGGGTTTTTTCTCACGAATACGAATTGAAGTCATGGTAACTTATTTTGTCCAGCTGGTGAAAATATATTATAAATATATCATCTGATAATCATATGTAATATCATCTGATAATCTACAGGTTTTATACGCTTTATGTACAATTTACCTTTATATGTTTCATAGTTCTATATACTGAGTTCTCCAGTCAGACATTTCCAAGATATCTTTTAACATCCTTTCTGTTACAGAGGCAGCAGACTGATCAGCGCTATACCGGTAAGATGTTAACGCACGTCGGCGGCCATGGAAGTGGGTTTGCGTGTCTATATTAACTTCTTCCTATCTCATTATTACAGTCGAGATCAGCCGCGTGGGTACAGGGTGGGCGTGTCTACATCAAATTCTTCCTTTATCAATATTACAGTCTAGAGCAGCCGCGTGGGTGCGCTAGCGTGTCTACGTTGACTTCTTCCTTTCTCAATATTACAGTCTAGGGCAGCCACCTGGGTGGGCTTGGTTTAGTTTAGTATTGTTTAACGTCCCTTAACAGCTATGGTCATTTAAAGACGACCTCCCCTGTGTGCAAAACGCATGCGCGTAGTGAATGCGTGTGTGTTTTGGGAGGATGCAATATGTTCGTGTTTGTCTCCTTGTGATAGCACGGAACTGATGCCGACTTGATAGTGCTACCTCACTGAAACATACTGCCAAAGACACCCAGCAGGACACCCCACCCAGTTACGTTATGCTGACAACGGGCGAACCACTTGTCCCACTCTTAAATTGCTAGGCGTTAAGCAGGAGTAAAAACTACCATTTTTACAGACTCTGGTATGTCTCGGACAGGGGACAGAACCCAAAGCCTTTTTCACAGGGGCGAACGCTCAACTAAAGGCCAAACGTGAGGCATTATCAAGAGAGACATTAGGAAGAAGAAAGTTGTTAAGAAAGAAGAGAAAAAGATAAGATCTCAAATTTAGTCGCCTCTTACGATCATGCAATGGGGGGGGGGGGGGGGGGGCAGCAGGTACAATTCTGGGCGGGCGTGTCAACGTTAACTTCTTTCTTTCTCATTATTACAGTCTAGGGCAGCCGTGTGAGTGGGTCACACATGTTTTATCGTTGGGGCCTGGGTATTCATTATGGTTTATTCCTTCTTAGTTTTATGCCGGTCATTGTTTTGTTGTTCTGTTGCAGACGAAACAAAAGATTTACCGGATAGAAATTTGTCGCCCAAAGAGATTGGCAGATTGTCTAGATACATCCGCAGTTCATACCTGACTTTTTTTGTCGACCTGAACTGTCCTGTAGAGACAGTGGAACAGGAGATAGAAGAGCATCGCCACCTCGCCTTTAGATCCCGCATTACGAAGGTCTTCTTGCATCTCCTCAAAATGAAGGTGGATGTTGGTTTCGGGGCAATAGCTGACGCAATGTCAAAACACGGAATGGATTCTGCGAAACTGATGAACACTCTTGACGCTGAGCGCAGTGTAAACAGCGGTAAAAAATACGTCTATTTGCATTAGTTTGTTTCTGCTTTTATTTATTTTTGTTTTTATTTTACGTCGGTGTTTTTATCTATTTCTGTATAAAACAAGCATATTTTTTTCAATCTTTCATCAACATATTGAAAGAAAAATAGAAATGTATACATAAAAACAGAAAGCGAAACGAAAGACAAAAAGACTGTGTTGTAGCTAAATATGAAAGTATTGGTATGGAGGAATTGGATTCTGAGATACACAACGTTTCTGGTTTTCCTCAGCGACGTCTTATTCCCGAGGTTAAGACTCGGTAAACCTTAAACTTAAGCTATCCCTAAAATAAATACTGTTAAATAATATAAACATTACCAGAATAATCACAAGTGATATTTATGGCATCACTATATTATTTGTTTCAAGACGAGACGTTGCCAGATAGCTTGCAGCAACAGTGCCTGTCTATGGAGGATGCTTCCAACATTGCTGACTATGTCGACATTAAGACATATTTTAACTTGTTCCTGGAGCTCGGTTTCTCACCAGCAAATGTAGATGACTTTGACGACCAATACAGACACGTGAAAACTCGCGTGAAGGTCACTGCCATGCTGGAAGCGTTCATAACAGAGACCGATCCCTGCCCAACAGTCAACACAATACTCCTGGCGATGCAGGAATGCGACATGGACACCAAATCCCTTATCGCAGCATTAAAAGAAACCTAGGTACTGAACATTTATAACTAACTTGACTATTTATAAAAAGATACTAAATGTTCAAATTGTCTAGTAACATTTGAAAATTTGAGATGCTTCAAATTGTTACTATACAGAAATGCTTTCTCCTTTCAGATCGACGCTACATAATTATATAATTACAAGATATGAAATAATAAACTGATATAAAAGATGATTTCGGAACACTTAAACATCTTTAATCAAGATAACGAAAACAAGGCCAACATTATTTTCAAACTAACATACACTGTATACATGAACACTTCATAGAAATTTTCTTTCCGTTTTATTTATTGTAGATACAGGAAGTTATAGTGAGGTTTGGTGACAGTTATTCACTCAACGTGGTTTTGGAGATGACGAACCAAATGAACCCAGGAGGGAGGGTATGGCTTAACTAGGACGATTGTATTATAGTAAATGTTTCCGGTAAAATGAGTTTTCCCAAAATCAGAAGAACTATATGCTGTACAGTAACAGATTATAACGTGTAATGCAGATTCAAATATCATGTTGTTGACTCAAGAAATACAAATACCGGTTACATAAACACTGTCTACGTGTGACACAAATTATGATATTATAAATGGTCAACACTGTGTCATTGTTTGGTAAATAAGACATATCATGTGTAATTTGTTAAACTAATATCCTTTGATATTTCATATACTTCATGGGAGAATAGTTAGTCGATACACACATATATTAAACTGTTTTATAAACAACATAGATATCCCGTCCTATGTGTATGAACTATCTTTTGTACATTTCAAGATGTATTTTAATCCTTAAAGAAATACGTCTATTTGTAATTATTGACAGTTTGGTTATTTTATGTAAAAATACCTCTTTAACATAACATATATATTTGAAAAAAGGAATATCTTTATTGTTTTTACGACATTTTCATTTGATGAAGCTATATATTAGTTACATTTAGAAACATCGACATTTTTTTTAGAAATATCCTTATTTCTATTTGGTATTTCTCTATTTCTGTTTAATATGTTTCCTTCTTTATGTGTTTCATTTTTTCCCATTTAGATATATATCCAAGAATTTGGTGACCTCATTTGGTTATTCAATGTTCAGTTGGTTTATCATACTATGCAAGAGCAAACAACAACGTGAGACATTATCCACACGTACATGTTAAATTTTGTGTCTGAATGTAAATACAGGTTATGTACGTAGGATGTTTACTTTTATTTGATATACAGGATAATGCATTATTTTTATTAAAGATATACGTTTTGGACTGTGTCTAAAGGTATAGGTGCATGATCCTGGACCATTATTTTTACTTCAGATCGTTGTAATCAATCCGTTTCCTGGTTTGAACAAAGGAATGCAACTCGTCTTGTTAGTGAACTGTTTGATTACGATGATGGGCCGTGATAATGTATATCAATTCATTTCCTCGATTTTTTATTTCGCAATATGCTTAAAGAATGCCATCTTAATATTGACTATCAATACTAATAGTAATATCCAATACAAATAAAATAATTCGCGAATAAATGTGAAAATAAATCTTTCGCAAAACCAAAGGAATTACATCATTCATACACTTTTTCCAAAATCATCTCGCAAAATGGGTTAGCAAAATTGTAACGCTATCAAGTTTGATTCACTGCCAGAATACTATAAGTTATGTTTGTTATTGAATAGGTGCATTTTCTGTAGAGACGTAACAATTAAGCTATTTTTACGATTTTTACGATTTTTCTTTATTATTCTTTTTTTAGCTCTGTGATGTTTAGGGTACTTGGTTTCGTATTTTTTGCTATAGTTATTTGGATGTTTATAGCCGTTCTTATCTGTTGGTATCTGGTCTATACATCACAAGAATGATATGTTTATATATGTTAATTGAAGCTGATTATCATGTCTATAGCGTTTAATATATTATTTTGTGGCAATTTGTTTGTTTATAATCGATTGAAACAAACGCATCTCTGGACACCTGCGATATAGGATACTCTTGGCCACCAAAAACGGTCGAAACAAATATCTTGGACTACACACTTGATTTTGGAAATGAACTCCTGTGTGTAGTCGAAACATTCCATATTTATAATTTGAAAATTTAAATACCGTGGACGAAATGTCTAAACTGTTCCTTATGTTTTAGCTCGCCTGGCCCAAAGGGTGGCGTGGTGCGGCGTCTGTCGTCCGTCCGTCGTCCGGCGTCAATATTTTACTTTAAACAAATTCTTCTCAATAACCAAAAGGCCAAGGGTATTGATATTTGGTCAGAAACAAACTGGGATAAAGGGCTACCAAGCTTGTTGAAATAAATGACCTTGACATATATTCAAGGTATGTTTTGGTCAAATGTATATATACATTTAACGAACATAATCTCAATAGTGTAAGAGTAATACAAGGTGAGCGATGCAGGCCCATTTGGCCCCTTGTATTCGTGGTCACAGGGGTCAATTGTCTAAAAATATCATTGAAACAACTGTTTTTCTAAATAACCAAAAGGACCAGGAAGGTGATATTTGGTCAGTAGCATGCTGGGATGAAGGGCTACCAAGTTTGTTCAAATAAATGACCTTCACCCATATTCATGATCACAGGGGTCAAATATGTTAAAAACTTCAAACGACTTCTTCTGAATAACCAAAAGTCCCAGGGTGATGATATTTTGTCAGAAGCATGCTGGGATGAAGGGCTACCAGATTTGTTCAAATGAATGACCTTCGCTCATATTCAAGGTCACAGGGGTCAATTGTCTAACAAAACTTCAAACAACTTCTTCTGAATAGCAAAATGGCTCATGGTGATGATATCTGGGCAGTTGCATGCTAGAATAAAGGGCTACCATTAAGTTTGTAAAATAAAAGACTGACTTATATTCAAGGTCACAGGGGTATTTTAACATGTTCTTTTGAATGTCTTATAGTCATAAATACTTGTACATTTCCTGTAGCTTTAGTTTAGATCACTTTTCAGGTTACAAGTGTGGGATTAGTACCAGGTGAGCGATGCAGGCCTATTGGGCCTCTTATATTGAAATGCATTGGCATGTTTGCCAGAACATGTTTTAATTGTGGAAAATCTATTATTGTAACACGACCCTTAACTATTTAGTTGCTTCTTAATACACCACTGATTTCAAAAGTTTTCTGATATAAAAGAATGTGTGTGTCATGTTAATTAGGTCTGCTATATTTTTATAGCTGTCCAGTTTAAATTGATTGTAATGAACAGTCCGGGTAAATGAGTCTGTGACGTATTATTTAACTATAGTCTGAAGTAGCGAGGTTCGACTCTGTTTATCACAACAGTTGCTATTCACGAAAACTAAGGTATTAGCGGCACTGAAACACAATACCAGAATAGAAAAAACACGTCACCGGTCATATTTCAGTTTATCAAGGACATACACTTTAATGGTAATATTGTATACTTTCTGTGTGATGCTAAAATCAAATACCAGATCAAAGTTCAAGATACTGTTAAGTTTGTGTAAAAGTTCTGCACGGGACATACTTACCAGATGAACCTGTTGTTTCTGTAACGTGTTACTTATCAAGTGAAAATGCATTTAAAACAAAATGTCTCGCTTGGCTAAGAGGCATGTACTTATATCTGTGTATGATAATGATAATTTATCCCTTGTATGATAGATGCATCAAATCTTCATAAATGTGATTTTTTAGCTTTATTATCTGTAAAACTGTAAAGTGTTGGTAAAAAGTGTTTTTTATGAATGTTTGTATGTTATGTGAGTACCCTTAAGGATCCCTGCACCACTGTCAACATATTTAACTAGGAATTGAAAAGGTTTTGTGATACCTGCGTAATCGAATCAATCCCATAAAGATGCCTACATTGTGTAAAACATTGAAAGAAACAAAACAAAATATAAATAAAAAAAAAAGTTTTAGGAGTACCATAAAATGGGGAATTACCAAAATTGGAACCTCCTGATCAGCGATAGAATCCTGGCTAATCCCCTACAGTTATATCAACCATGAAATTAACAGGAGGCTACTGTATATATGAAAACCTAATATAGTCCTCAGTAGGACAAGGATCCTTAATGTTTATTGTGAATGAAAATGAGAATTACCTATGAATTACCTATGACACGAACCCAACATCGCGATGATGTTGTTATACTCTAGATGTAATTGGAGTGAGGTGTGAAACTGAACAGTTTCCCGAGTGATGAGAATGTCACCTCAGTTATTGTATCGTTTTGGTGTGTTATTGAAGAGTAATATAATATCCATGTACAAACTGGAAAAAAATAAAGCGAAAAACATATTTCTGTTTGTCTGGTTAATGTTTGCTGTTTTAGTTACTGCTGTGTTTATAAAAGTGTGATTCCACTTTAGCGCCTTTGCCTTTAATGTTCCTAGTTTATCTATGACTGCAATCAAATATTGCAAATGAAAGCTTCGACAAAACAACCGAAATATGTAATTTGAAATTAAAAAATCTATTACGTCGTCAACACATTATCATATATAACGACATTTGTCTTAGTTTACATGGATTTGGGAAAGATTTTCATTAAAGATATGTCAATGAAGCAGAGGACGCATGTTCCTCCGGAGCACGTGGTTGTGTTGGCCTATTTACTATGAAAACATTCATTGTAATAGCAGAACGTTAATATAACAGCCTCCGAGCCCCCACAACATGTTGATTGCTCGCTGTTTTCAGGAAGTCTTTGACACCCTCTCTCTAAAATCTGTTTAGTGGCAACATGGCGACCAAGGTGTTAAAATAAGACACGATATGCTGATATACAATCCGATATCTTTCTACACATTTTCTTCAGGTTGGTAAGTGTGGATTATGAACAGTTTCTTGTTACACAATCAATAATTGTTTCTATGTGACGTTTCGATGACTAGTACGGTATGTTTATCTGTCACCTTCATCAGACAAATGACCATTGAAGATATCTACATAACTGATATCTTCATATATAACAACTATTGTACATACGCTTACAGCATAGCCGAATCGACATCGATTCGAAGACAACTCGTACAAATTGTACACTTTTGTTTACATACGCTTCACTAGTCATTTGTCTAATGAAGGTGACAGATATAGAGTACTATTAGTCGTCAAAACGTCACACAGAAACAAATATTGGTTGTGTAACAAGAAACTTTTCATAATCCGATATCTTATTATCTTTGATAACTTCGATATAAAGACACAGCAGATATGAATAAAAACATCTGTCAGCTCCGGCGTGTGCTATCAGCGATAGCTTTTACTAAGTATTCTTGAAGATGCCAATGCATTCAAGGGTTATGTCAGTAGCAGTTCTGATTAAGACTATCATCTAGGTTCAGTAATCATGATATCTTAACTGAAGAATAAAGACAATTATTACTGGATCAAGTGCATCCTATATAATTAATGTATCCATACTCTATAATTATATTTTAAATCACCAGACCATTTTCAAGGTCACAGGGGTCAATTGTCTTAAAAACTTTAAACAACTTCTTTTGAATAACAAAGAGGCATAGGGTTACGATATTTGGCCAGTAGCATACTGTGATTAAGGGCTACCAAGTTTGTTCAAATGAATCACCTTTGTCCATTTCCAAGGTCACAGGGGTCAGTTGTCTTAACAAATCTTTAAACAACTTCTTCTGAATAACTAGGAAGCCTTAGATAATGATATTTGGCCAGTAACATGCCAGGATGAAGGGCTATCAAGTTTGTTCAAATGCATGACCATTACTTATTTTCAAGGTCACAGTGGTCAAATATGTTTAAAATCTTTAAACAACTTCTGAATAACCCAAAGTCTTAGGATGATGATATTTGGCCAGTAGCATGCTGGGATAAAGGGCAACCAAGTTTATTCAAATGGATGATCTTTACTTATATTCTAGGTCACTGGGGTCGTATATGTTTAAAACTTTTATACAACTTCTTCTGAATAACCAAGAGGCCTATGATAATGATATTTGGCCAATAGCATGCTGGGATAAAGGGCTATCAAGTATGTTCTAATGAATGACCTTTACATATATTCAAGGTCACAGGGGTCATATATGTTTAAAACCTTTAAACGACTTTTTCTAAATTAGCCAAAGGCCAAGGGTGATGATATTTGGTCATTAACAGGCTGGGATGAAGGGCTACCAATTTTGTCAAAATGAATGACCTTCGCCCATATTCAAGGTCACAGTGGTCAATATATGTTTAAATCTTTAAATGACTTGTTCTGTATAACCAATAGGTCCATGGTTATGATATTTTGTCAAAAACATGCTGGGTTGAAAGACTTTAAACTCTGTTCAACCTAATGTCCTTGTTCGACATTCAAGGTCACACGCGTCATATGTTTAAATCTTTTAATAGGTTCTTATGATACTGTGGAATACATGTGCAGAGACTGTAACCTCTTTTTATGGACTCTTATAAGTTATATATATTGATGTAGGGTGAACTATCTGTAAGGTGTAAACTGGTGGTCTATGTATTGTTAGGAGTGAGTGAAAGATTGTTGAACAGGGTGATTGTGTAGTATGTGTTTTTGTTTGGTATATTGAATGGTTTGCTTGGTTGTAAATAAATGTATACATATTGGTTATAAGTTGGTTATGCTGGTTTAAATAAATTTTGGCCTAATATACCACACTTCGTGACATAAGTCAGAACTCAATAATTCATACAGTCGTATGTCCCGCCATACTCCTCACGCTGTAAAGATCTGTAACCGTCAACCTGTACAACCCCGTCCTGTAATCGTCAACCTGTACAACCCCGTCCTGTAATCGTCACACTGTATAGTCCCGTCTTGTAATCGTTACTCTGTATAGCTCTGTCCTGTAATAGTTACACTGTATAGTCCCCTCCCATAATTGTCACACTGTATAGTCCCGTCATGTAATCGTCCCACTGTACATCCCCGTCCTACAATCGTCACCGTGTACAGTCCTGTCCTGTTATCATCACAATATTTAGTCCTGTCCTGTAATCGTCACACTGGATAGTCCAGTCATGTAATCGTCGCAGTGTTCAGTCCCGTCCTGTAATTGTCACACTGGATAATCTCGTCCTGTAATCGTTACACTGTACAGTCCCGTCCTGTTATCGTCATATTTGATAGTCCAGTCATGTAAACGTCACAATGTACAGTCTCGTCCTATAATCGTCACAATGTACAGTCCCGTCCTGTAATCGTCACAATGGACAGTCCAGTCCTATAATCGACACAATGTACAGTCCCATCCTA